TGGAGCCAGGGGCTGGCCCGTCCCACCCCAGAGGGGACCCCTCAGCACCCAAGTCCGACGCGGCGCACTGTCAGCTCCGGGACTTCAGGCCTCTGTTGCCTGGGCTGCACCCTGAGGAGCCGTCCCACCTCTTTCTTCAGGTTCAGCCCGACACAAACACCATGCCCCTGGGTCAGAGGAGTGCGCTCTGGAAGGTGGAAGAAGACCCAGGAGAGGCCCAGGGCCTGGTGGAGGCACAACCGTCCAGGGCTGGGGAGGAGGAGCCCCCATCTCCTCTCTCCTCTTCTTCTTCCTCCTCCTCCTCCCCTTCCTCCTCCTGCTCTGTCCTGTTCCTGATTCCCCTGGGGGAGAGGTCTGCTACTGGGTCCCTGAGTCCTCCCCAGAGCCCTCAGAGTGCCTGCCCCTCCCCCGCTGCCCCGGCAGCCACAGCCTGGAGGCAGCCTGACCAGGGCTCCAGCAACTCCGATGAGGAGGGGTCGAGCACCTGCGAGGATCCAGAAGTCACCCAACCCTCTCTCCAGGACAAACTTCATGTGAAAGTGGCTGCCCTGGTGGGGTTCCTGCTCCTCAAATACCGCAATAAGCAGCCAACCCGCCAGGCAGAGATGCTGGAGATTGTCAGCAAAGATTACCAGGACGACTTCCCAGTGATCTTGGGCCAAGCCTCCGAGTGCATGAGGCTGGTCTTTGGCGTGGATGTGAAGGAAGTGGACCCCAGCGACCACTCCTACATCCTGTTCACCGTCCTGGGTTTCACCTGTGATGGGATGCTGAGCGGTAAGCATGGCATGCCTAAGACCAGCCTCCTGGTGCTGCTACTGGGGGTGATCCTCGTGGAGGACGACTGTGCCCCTGGGAGGGAGGTGTGGGAAGCGCTGGGTGTCATGGGGGTGTATGCCGGCAAGGAGCACATCGTCTATGGGGAGCCAAGGGAGCTCCTCACCAAAGTCTGGGTGCAGGAAGGGTACCTGGAGTACCGGCGGGTGCCTGGCAGTGACCCTGCCTGCTACGAGTTCCCATGGGGTCCCAGGGCCCACACCGAAACCAGCAAGTTGCAAGTGTTGGAGTATTTGCTCCGGGTCAATCGCAGGCAGCCCGGTTCCTCCCTGATCCTGTCTGAAGGAGCTGTGAGCAATGAGGGAGAGGGGGCCTGAATCCCAGTGGTGGCCAGGGCCTTTCCAGGCTTTGGTGGGGTCGGCAGCTTCTCCTGCGGGGTGCTGGGCATGAAGTGAGGCCACATTTTGGTTCTTCCCTGCGTGTGTGAAGAGAGAGCCCCGGGAGTTCTAAGTAGGGCAGGGCCAGGGAGGGTTGGGGGAAGAAAGCAGGATGAAGAGCCAGCCTCTCTGGGGGCCTGTTCTCTGCGATGACTCTGACATCCAGAGCTTGGTTTTCTTGAGGAAACTCTCAAATGTTGTTCCTTGGAATAGAAGGTTTAACCAGCTTTGGCAGCTCAGTGTGGGCGTGACATCCACCCCACAGCATTTGTACTTACTCAGTTAAGAGTTTTAAGAGTTTTGTCATATTCTGGAAATAAGGTGGGAGATCTTCCCTCCTTGTTTGGGTTCTGGAATGAAATCACAGGGCATTGGCATAGGAATCTGTTGGAAAGGTGAAAGAATGGAGCAGTCAAGTGACGGGGTCAGGAAATAGGGAAATAAAAGATTGTTCATTTTTGCTTCTTACTCCTTCTCGTCTGTCATTCTGCAAAAGTAACATAGATGCGTGCTCCTTCATTCGCTTGGTTCTTCAAGAAAGGAGGAGAAACGACATCTCAGCACAGAGGGAGCCCTGCTCACTGGCTCCTTGATTCCCAGACATGGACGGAGCTCTGCTCTCTGGAAGGCCCTGTGTGTGAGCAGTGAGGACATTAGGAGAAGCAGGACACGTCCCACCCTTAGGGGACTGTCTAGCAGCTGCTCTCATGGCA